AAATAAAATTATAGTAATGAAAAATTTACTAAATTATGTGATTCAAATCTTATTTATTGCAACAACTTAAGATATTATGACACTTTGACAAGAATCCCTTGTTTTTAAAACTGCATTTATTTGTGGAACACTTCCTTTTGCAATGACAGCGTGTAAAGTTTTATCCGCCGTTTCTCAAATTAGCTGCAGCTGCTTCTATCAGCGACATTTCTTGAAAATAAATCTCATCAATGGAAAGTAACTTTTCTTTACATGTTACGAACTGATTACTAGTGTAGAGCTGCTTGAGGGTACCATTTTTATTGGGAAGTTTATAGAAGTCGGAGTCTTCTATTCCAACAACCGCTAACACAGTTTGGTTATCTGTAAGACCATGGTCGATATCAGGGACTTGTATTCGTACAGTAACACCAATTTGAGCAGGAGCAAATTTTTATTGTAAGGTTCGTAACATTTTTGTTGCTTGAAGTAGAAGATTCTCTTTCGCGGCCGCTCTTTTTTTAGAAATTAACTCGTGTGTTTCAGTCAGAACTTGATGTGAAAACGTGGTAGATTGCAAGTTCTCTTCAATATTTTTATTTGGAATATGGTTTTCTGTATGACCACCACTAAATCTTTTTTCAGAAGTATTACCAGTTTCTTCAAGCTGTTCTTCTGTTTCAAAAATATTGGTAATTTCTTCGAGTTGTTCTTCGGTTTCGATATTTGTGATTTGTTCGCTAGGCAAAAAAGACGATGCTATGCCTCTTTTTGCTTTTACGCCAAACATGGTTCCATAAGGACATTGGCGTATTCCTTAGTGGTATGTAGTCTTCTTGGCAAATTGAACAAAGGGTAAGCCTTCTGACCATTTATTTGTATCGTTATCCATGCAGTTAGCATATTCTGCATATCCTGATTGGCCATTTGAACTGAGCCTTGTGTTTGGCTGTGACGAAGCTTTCCATGAATTATCTTAACATCTTTCCACATAGAGTATATATCTTGATTAGAATTCTCTACCATTATCTGATTGCAAAATTGCTAGAGCACTAAATGTTAAAAATATTGGAAGAACGTGACACGCTTTTTCTTCAGCTCTCTTAATTTTCAAAGGTCATAGCTGGAAAAACTTAGTTAAATGATCTTGATATACCATTATGAACTTATGTTCGCCATTTTGTTTAAATGCAGATATATCAGATCAACTTGACATCTTCAGTTTAACTCAAAATTGTGATCATTGGTTTCCCAACAGTACCTTTCTTAGGTGCACTGTGTTTCATTTGACACTTTTTGCATAAATTTAAATACAATATTACAACTTCATATGTAACATTTTTGTATTTAATTTGCAACTCTTTAAACATACGTGTTCTTCCTCCGTGGCCTATTCTGATGCGAGTTTCATATAGCACACATAACAATTCGTCATTGGTAAAATAAATAATACTGCATATTTTCGTTTCTCCTGGTTTTAATGGTACATTAAACTTCTCTTCATCATTAACTTTTAAAACGTCAAAACGTTTTAATCGTCTGTAATCCAAAGGTGTGTGGCACTTAGTTTTAGCAAAAACTACTTCAGGAAGTATTTTAGAGAACTTTTCTTTTTTGAAAAATAAAAACAATTGTCTTATCGTTTACCCGCAATCAATGTATTTAACTTTTCAAGGAAAATATCACGATTCACTGTTGCATCCATTCAGTATAAATTAGGGTATCGGGGAAAAATTAAGAAAACGTTGTTCGCACCATCAAACCTTGCATAAGACTGACGAAGCTGACAGACTCCCAGCGGAACAAAGGATTTGGCGGGAAGCAGCCAGTCGCCTCCTCTCCTTTCGACCTCCACCAGAGTATATCTGCGATTGTCGACATACACCGGTGAAAGTTCGAATGTACAAGACTGTAATACAGTATTCGATCTTTTTCACCGATGTATTTGGTGTGTGTCGACATGCTCAATTTTAGACATCCACTGTAACATATATATATGTACGATTCAATTCAATATTTCATTGGGATCAGTTAATTGTATATTACATATAAACACCATTAATTTGAAGAATACATACTTTGAGTTCATTAAGAGAAATATTCGGCATACTAGATGTTAACCTTGGCAAGAGTGTTTATTTGAACCACT